GCAAAAGACACGGAGAATGCTGCAAGTGAAAGCTATTTTTTTTATGGATTAATTCATTCCCCTGCAGTAAGAAGATAGGATTCTTTGGCAGAGAATCAGTGCAGCTTGATTCCTGTCTGTGGCATATTTAGGTTTGTGTTATCACCTGCTGCCCACACTTATGTAGCATAAACTCCTGAGAGAACTTGTGAAGAGATGCATTTTTAGTGAGCTGGCCTGAATCAAGGCTTTGCTGATGAGCCCCTTAAGCTGCTGGAAGAAGACCTGTTTCATACCAGGCCAGTATAACCTCAGACCAAGTATGTAGATTTGATTTCCTACATTCAAAGTCTGACTGACTGCACTATGTAAGTCAGATTTTCAATTTACCTGCAACTTGAGAACTCAGTATCTTAAACAGGTACAATACTAGCAGTTGGTGCTGCAGATAAAGCCAACAACCTTCAAGAAAGCCGGGGTGATTTAATGGACTGCTAATTGGTCTGATACCTTTGCTACCTTCCCTTAAAAAGACTACAAAAACCTGTGTTTCCTTCTGACCTGTGTTACTGTCACTGTAAGCATTGAAAGCTATCAGACTTCTCTTTTTCCTCTGCTTTTTCCTCTGTCTAGTTCCCTTAGGACAGGAGATCCTGGCAGCTAGATCTACCCTAGGCTTTTGCCTTTTGTTTTCCTGTACTTTTCTCTTGGCACGATTCAGGAGTTTTCAGTGTCGTGCTTCCACAGTCACATGCTAAAATATTTGCACAGCTGTCTGATGACAGAAAAGGGGAGAGAAAGAAAATCCACTCTTCTGTTATTTGAAAAGTTAGAAAAAAACCCCAACCAAACAAAACCCAAAAAAAAAAAAAAAAAAAAAGCCAACCAAGCAGAGTTTAACATGAGTTAATCATATAAAATCTTCGGTTTGCTCTGCTGTTGGATAACACAACCCTCTTTCACCTTGTCTGGTTTTGCACATGTCCTTCACCTTCCTCTTCTCATGCATATAAATCCACCTTTTCAGGCATCTCTTGAGCTGCCTGTGGGTTAAAATGCCCGTGGGACTTCACTGCCCACCTGTGTGCACTCCCTTCAGCCTGTTCCTGGTGTACAGAAGTAGGACCAACTCCTGCAGGCTATAATCAGGCATTCTTCAGGCAAATCTCTGACTGAAGTTAGTGGAAGTTTTGGCAGAAGGACCGCAAAACTAATTACATTCCTCCTCCAAGTATATATATATTGGTTGGTGATGAGAGATGAAAAAATACTGCCTAGAAAGAAAGTCCATTAATAAATGAGAACTAGATGTGGGGAAGAACAGTTGATTGAATTATTTATAATGCAGTTATAAAATTGCTGAGTTGCTGAGCTTTCCAGAAACCCATCAATAACAGGCATGGCCATAGCAGCAGTTAATAGGAGTATAGACAAGCAGGAGCAAAGATCTCCATGAAAATCAGGTGTGGAAATATTGTGAAAGACTAGCATATCCAAATCATTTATCACAGAATATATTTTAGTGTGGTGATAACTTTCTCATAGCCTTGAAATCTCATTGTGAGTTAATTTTACCAGCAGTGCACCAGTGAATTTCAAGCAAAAACCGAGCAAATGTGGGCTCATCTTTTAAAAATAGAAAAACAGCATAGACACTCTGTGATAAGGCTAACTATAGATCAGTGTGAAAAATTTGAAATGCATGTAAAAAAAAAAAACAACCTGGATAGTGATACTAAGAGGAAAAATGAATCTTGATGTTTGAAAGAACATATCTTGTCACACATTTTTTTTTATCAGAATTACCTAATTAGTGACTGACGATACTGGAGCAGATATTACTACATTAGATTCTTTGGTGCAATTACTGGAAGATTCAACTTTTCAAATCTTCAGTGGCAGAAAGAAGGAAAAGTGAAAAGGCCAACAGGCTCTTTTTCAGCTTTGACATCTATAATTCACATGCATGGACTGCACTCCCACTACAAACAGTCCGCTCCCTTCCTACACACACTCCATGCTTTTATCCTGCTCTCAGACCACACACGCATCTCTGTCCACTTTCTGCCCTTTGCATCAGCCAGCCTCTTCCCTTGGGCGTGTGAACACCTCCTCTGAACTAACCCCTCAATTAAAGGTGTGTTTCCACCCTGGTCCATCAAGTTTGGGGTTTTTTTAAGGCTTTCTTGCTGTCCTCAGTTGTGAGCTCCAGACAAAGCCTTCCTTTCTCTGTGGGAACTTCACGACCAGGAATGTGGTCTGGACGTTTACGGACAAAGGAACATTCATGTTCCTGCTCCTGTTGCCTTCTCATCACTAGGAATAATGAATGTGCTGTGCCTTTAACCTTCTAGCTCAGGTTATGAAATCTATGTCCTCCTGTGGACGTACATTTAGGGTAGCTCCCTTTTGTTTGTGGCAGAGACTGAAGTGTGCAGGCACAGGGATGTATTTTCTCTGTACTGGCCCAGATCCAGCAGCCAGAATGCTGTTTCCAGCCCTTTAGCCTCTGTAACCTTCTGTTTGTGAAATCAGCCTGATGAGGCAACTGATGAGAAATTGGTGCTTATTAGCTGCTGTCATTTTTATACCCTCTTCCATAAGTAATGGTACAGCAGCCCTCGTGATTCCATTAAATAGCTCTAGCTAGTGCTCTGACTGCGGGAAGATAAAGCTGCAAATGGAAAAGGCTTCTCGGTGCTGCACGCCAAGCCCAGCCACTTCCTCACCCCTACGTTCCTCTGCTGCTTTTGTACCTGCTGCTAGCCCAGCTTTATCCCTTCTCAGGATTGTCTTCTTCAGGAGACATCTTTATTTTGAATGGCTTCATGCTATCACGCCCAGAGGCACCAAGTCTTTTCCTCTAAGCCAAGCATAAAAATGTCAGGAGAAAGGAGGATGGGTGTGTGTCAGCAAGATGTATATTTAATTATATGTACCAACCAGCATTTTCCCTATTCAGTTTCCGATCTTATTGCATTCTCATTTAAGATTACTGAAGCAGCCATAAAATGCCCATGATAACATGGATTTTTATAACATGCCTTCATATTCTTAGTAACCTCATATCTGTGTGGAACCAGCAGCTGATAAGTCTGGGTGTACTCATAACTAATTCTGAACAAGCCACTAAACCACCATGCAAGGGGGAGGAGACGATGCTATTAAAGTCCAGCATCTTTAACATGAAGGCTCCAGACTTCCAGAGACTGGGCCTAGATGGGCTTACCTACTTCGCAGAGATACTTCTGCGCTGCCAAGTCTAGTGGCATTGCCATGGCCATCACTGCATTTGGTGGTGTTCTCCAAGTCCCATGTTTTAGAATCATGTAAGCATAGGAGAAATTAAAGTTTTTTTCTAAACCAAATTGAGTTATTATCCCTATAGTGTGTTGGAGAAAAGCTGGAAATCTCAGTCTGAAGGCAGAGGCAAAGATGAGTAAAAAGGCTTGAATTGTTACTGTTTTTAACATCTGAGATTTTTTTTAGCCCACTCACAGTTTTTTGAATCTGGTTCAAGTCTTTTTAACCCTTCTGGCTGATACTGCTGTTCTGAGCTAGTCCCATCTGCTGCTTCAGTTTATAGTGGGACAAAAAGGTACTTAACCCCCTGTCATGACGGGATCGTTAATATTTAGATTTTTGCATCTGGAGGTCTGTCCCTACCTAGCAAGTTGTGATGAGCCACTGTCAGAGAAAGCTCAAACAACCTGAGTTAAAAGTGAGGATAGAGAAGTCAGTTAAGAAAGCACATGTGTGGGTTTTACTTCTGTGTGTTTGTTTTGTCCGTACCACCTACATGCACACAGAGCTGTGTTTGTTACTGGCGCCCTGAGAGAGGAAATCCATTACCTTAAAAGAAGCACTTGGCATTGAGAGAGAATAATAAGGAAAGCAACAAAGAACCATTAGCAACATTTTATTAAGAAGATGAGATAGTCTGTCTTGTAAACAAGTGGTATTACTTAACTGTCCAAGGATTTTCTTTCCAAAACAAGCCTGAATTGTTCATTGTCCTGCAAAATAACGCCTGCTTCTGCAGTCCTGGCTGCTTCTCTAAGTACAGCCTGGAGTCTGTCAGTCTCTGCTGCTGTGGTCTGTCCTGCCTAGGGTTACAAATAATATTTATGTCAATGTTACAATAAAAAATATCTTAAGCAAGTAGAAAACAGCAGTATTAAGGCTCAGAAAGGATAACGCCATCACTTTTCTGTTGAGGGGACAGGAACAAAGGAACTCTGCCTGCCCTGAGCTTCCCTGTAGCTACAGTTGGGCCTCACAGACACACTTGTGCTCAGTTGTGTTGGCAGAGAAACACTTGGCAGAAAAATACCCTATTGCTGTCTCAACTGCTCATTCACCTGCTCAGAGAGACAAAATTATATCGCTTTGTCCTACCACTTCTTCAAACACTCCTGAGCGTGTGCTGATGTTCAGATGTTTACCACAAGGTTTCTTTTTTCCTGTTTTCACATGACATGGTATTTCCCAGAGGAAGTGAGTGGCTCTCTGGGGGTTATGCCAGCTTTCCTATACCATACAAACAAGATTTACAGATGCTGTAGAGCTCTGTGAGAGGAATAACCAAAGCGAGGTGTAGGGTATGGGGTGTGAGGGAAGTACCTTCTGTATAAAACAGCCCTTTTTTTTTTTAAGAAATCAGTGGATTACCCATGTCAGAGGAATCCTCAAAGGAGGAGGCAATACATACATTTGGTGCTCCCATTGCCGCTCCCTTACCAAGCCACAGGGGACCACTGCTCTGTTACCATGGCAACAGTGACGAATTGGCAGCCAAACCCATCATCACACAGCCTCCCTGAGACCCTGCGAGATGCTCTGGGAAAGACTTACAGCAGGAGATTTGCATCCGAGATCCCATTTCTTTTTTATTTTGTCTTTACCTTGCAAGCCTAGAAAAAGAGAAAATTGTTTGTGCGAGCTCTCCAGAGAGAAACCTGTGCGGAGGCAGGGCACGGTGAGGGGCGAGGGGGCTCTGATTTAGATGCCTGCCCTGGCAGAGGCGGGCGAACTATGAGCACCTGTCGGGGAGGAGCTGATTTGTGCAAGAAGAAGGTCACTTACGCTGCCTTGCTCTGTGAGTACTGCCCCAGCTGGCCTCTTGTACCTTCTGCTGAAAATGTTATTTATTGTTTGCTATTGACTACAGAATTATGGGGTTTCTTGTTTCTGAGGGGGAGAATTTTCTTTTGTGCTAGCTCTTCTAAATAGGCTTTGCACAAAATCCACGAATGCACTATTACTGGATTTGTTTTTTTTCTAGGCATGAAGTCTTGCAGGAGCTGCAGACTTACCCATTAGCAGCAGGTTTCTCACAGCAAGCTCGATGAAATCTGCAGGCCAGTGTCTGCAGTTTGCAGTGAGCGCCGCACAATCTGTACTTGAATGCGTTGATACCAGGTTTTGTGCTCTAGCCAGCTGGTGTGATACTATCCAAAGATCAGCTTTTTCATTTAATTAATGACTCCAGCCTTTGTTATACATGCTAACTTACTTGTTTTTGTTGAGATTAAGAATTTAGCAGTAAGTAAACCAAATGCCGCTTGGAACAGGTGCAGAAAGAGTATTTGCCCTATGTAGGATAGAGTTACAAGCAATTTCATTCCAGTGAGCCAAACAGATGCATCAGATAAACTGCTGATAAAAGGAATTATTATATTGGCAAAGATCCACCACACTCCACTGTAGCACATGGATATCATAGTCAAGCATGCAGAAAAACAGTAGTCAAACATATAAAAGCCATGGGTAAAATCAATCTAGCATGGCTAACAATAGGCATCTTAAAAACGTAATTGTGCTACAGAGCAATATGATAATCAGTTTTAAATTCTCACCTGAAAAATATTAATTAAAGCTAGAGATCCGTGAGAAGCATATGCTGCTTTGTAAAAAATAATGCACTGCAAAAAAAATATAAGGAAAAAGAAATCAAAGGGGTCTTGTACACCACAGATCTAAAATCTTGATCATCCTGCAGCTTGCTCACATGAAATCCAAGAAGATTTTTTTTTCCCCAGATGAATTTGGTGCTTGTTCTGTTCCTTGGCCAGATGGCAGCACTGGGGCATCTCTAGCTGTAATCTCATTAAGACTATTAGGCTTTGATTGTGCTTGTGCTCTGTTCCTGGCATGGATTTAGGGAGACAAATGATCCTCAGAGCGTGGATGGCTCTCACAGTTGAGAGGAGATGGGCTATGTCTTTTTTCATGAGGTTTGAAAATCTTACAGCCTCGATTTTGGAAAGGCACTGTTTGCAAACCAGCCGGACCAGCAAACAGGGACAGGTCCACTCAGTCCAGGCACACAAGGGCAATTTATGAACATAGCTTCTGTTTGTGGTAATGGGAGTCACATGTGTAAGTTCTCTGCACAATAACGGCAGAATACACTCCCTTCAGTGTGTAAATAGTATAAAGCTGTGCCTGTGTGAGTGTTGGCATGAGAGGCTGGGCTACAACAGAAGAAAAACAGAAATCAGAGATGAATTATTTGTTCATTTTTCCATCCCCAGAACGAGTCCTGTGTTCTGTTTTGTCCAGCCTAACTAACACAAGCATAATAGCTTTTGCTTTTTTGGACTGTTTGACCACACTTGAAAATATTTTGAGGGTAGAGGATGTTTCTGGAGTCGGATACAACTTATTTTCTTTCGATTTTATCCCCATCACTCTTCATTACAATTCCTTAGGACACCATAAATACCTGTTCTTCCTTTTTTTTTGCATTCCTGCATCACTCAAATATTAGCAGATACCTCTGTTCCTCTGCAGCAGTGAAGTTTAAATACTTCTGCATGTAACTGGGTTTCCAGCCCGCTCTGTGACCCCTGCACATGTGAACCTCTTGCACATAAACCCATACCGGTTTATGTCATTCGCGCATGAGCCTCGGGAAACAGTCTCTGCTGAATGAATGCCAGTGTACCACACAGTTCATAAATATGTAAAAGTAATGGGCCCTATCCCAACAAGCTTAGATTCAGAAACGTTTAGCAGATGTTCTGGCTGTGGGTGAGGAAAACAGGAGATGAATAAATACAATACTGCAATAACAAATACTTTGTTGATGAAACTGCACATAAATTAGAATGACAAACACACCCTTACCAGGACTTTGACCTAGCCATAAAACAACATCAACATATTTTATTAATAGTAGTTCCATGTTCTCAGGATCAATAAAGTGACTTCATTGATTTACTTTCCCCTTTTTATTAATACTTCTCTAAACAGTGATGAATTTGGATGTAACATAGGTAGAGTCTCTTTTATAGCTTGTCAGAGGACAATTCTGATAGTACTAGTAAAGCAGTAAGGGTCTCAACCAGGACCCCAAAGCCTTTTGCTAAAGAGAACCTAACCATGGGTAAGTTAAGAGTTTGAAGAAAACTTCCAGACCTGTTTGAGATTCAGGGCTGTCGGCTATTTCTAGACAACACCCCAAGGGAGCTGCTCTATACACTTGGTTAAAGGAGTAAAAAGCTGTTGCTTTAAAAACAAGTATACAAATCATAGGTCAGGCTCTCCCCTAATCCAAACTCCAAATAGTAATCATGCCTTTTAGACACTAAGGCATGCTAGGTGGAGTAAACCCATCCCAGAGGGAGCTCTGCACAGGCAGCTCTTGTGCGGTGTTTGTATAGCCTGAAGTAGGTGAGGAACTGACGATGTGTCTCAATGACACCCTCACAGGACTTTCTATTACATTTCACCAAGGTATATTTAAATCTATTCCTTTAGTCCTTCTCGAGGACTAGCTGAGTACGAGGAAATGCTGTACTTCAGATATTTTGTTTAATATATTAATTCTATAGTATGACAACAGTCTATTAATGCTTCTCCTGGGTATGGTATTGTTCTTGCACATCTATATTTTGCTAATTGAAAAGCACTTGTCTTACTCCTTTAGATGATTTTGCACCTCTTTAAACACCTGAGCTGTTGTTGGTTTTAAAGGAACTGTGAAGTCAAACTCAGCTGGGCTATTCTTTCTGGCGCTCAGCATACTCTACAGTTTTGAGAGGGAGTTTTCTGCTGGTGTAACCGTTGTTTTGGCTTACCCCAAAACATAGTGAAGTGAAAGTTGTGTGTTTCTCATTAGTTTCTTGTACACAGTCCTGAGACATAGCAGCAAACCCAGACGCAATTTTGTCTTTCACTGCTTGGAAAAATCTGTGAGCAGTGACATTATCTACAGTGTGTATGCACAGACTTGGAGCCTCTCTTACTCCTGAAATGCTCCCAAATGCTTAAGTCTACACTGAACACTTAGCAGATTTGCATGTAGCCCCAGAGAAACTTCCCTTATTAGTTCCTATCTGAAAGCTTAATTTCTTAGCCTGAAGGGTTAGAAACATTTTACTATGTGATCAAAGCTTGCTGGATTTGAGGGGCCAGTTTTTTATTTCCCCGTTGAACAGGAGAAGTTTTTACCGAGAGAGGTTTCTACTTTTTCTTAGTGAGCCAAAAGGTAGCTTTTTCAAGTGAATTAGTCTTGTATTTTTCTTGTAATAAAACACTACTAGCAATTTATTTGGAACTCAACACCCATCCCTGAACATAACATGACTCCAGATTAGTGTGTGCATGCATGTTCAGGGGTGACAGAAGGGGGTTAAATAGCATAATTTTGTAAATATTACAGTTATTCAAATGCTTATGCAGTGAGTAACCACTTGCATCAGGAGAGTACTGGCTGGTTGATGACTTCTGCCTTCTATTTCAAACACAAGTTGAGCACCTGTGATATTGCTTAGGAAGTCAGCTCTATATTTTCTCCAGAATTGGACAACTCTTCCTGCTAACAGTTGCAGCTGATGCAGAAGACAGCAAATTTTAAGACTTCTGTTGACTCGACTTTCTCTGCTGCCCTTCAGTTTCCTCTGGAAACATTTCTTCTTTTGGAAGCATTCCGCTGCTGATTTGCATACGGATTATTTTTACATTAAAAAAAAAAAAAAAATCGCTCTCGCTGTCCAAGTAGATGTGAGCATCAGAAAATAAGACTATAATCCCCAATTAAATTGCTTCCAGCAGGTAGCAATTCAAATGCAGTGCATTTTAGCAGAAACACTTACATACAGGAGATAAGAGTTCTGGTTAATGGAGAGCATCTCAGATGCTTTAATGGCACTTTGGTTTCATGTTATGGCCTCCAAATACTGCCATGTGTGTGGAAAGTGAAAGAAATCCTCTGGCACTGTAAACATCGTACTAAGATGTATAAAGAGGAGGGATGTTTGTGGAACACACCAAGTGCTCCTTCCATCCTACATCATGCTGGTAAGGCCTCAACTGGGAACATGCTGTGTGCTGTTCCTGCACTGGGAAATTTGAGAAACACATGGACTAAAGTGAGAGCCACCAAAGGTGAACATCGAGAATCACCAGAGGTCTGACAATGTAACCTAGGAGGACAGGCAAGAAGAAGTGGAGTTTTAGGTCTGCGGAACGTAATAAGAAGTGACATGATAAAGCTTCATGTATCTAAAAGGCTGCTGCAGGAGCAAGAAGAACAAATCTTTTCTTTGTCTGTGATGGGTAGGATGAGAAGTAGATGTAAATTATGGTAAAAGAGATCCAGGTTAATCATTAGGAAAAATATTCTAAAGGCAGAAGGAGTGAATCATGAGAAAAGAACATCTTGCCTGGATAGACTGTGGTGTCTGCAGCACTGGGGAGGTCTTTAAGGGGTAAAAGAAATGGGACAGAGATGCTTTCACAGGGATGGAGTTAGATGACCTCTCAGTGTCCCTTCCAGCCCTGTAATTCCGTGATCACCTCCTCCTTTGAAAATCTACTTGCTGTGTTTTCATTTGCTAATTCCAGATGTGGGGGCTCTGCTCCGGGACAGTATGCTTCCAGTGGAATTTGCTGTTCTTGGTTTTTAAAGAGATTACAAATTCCCACAGGAGCAGTCATGCACCTGGCAAGTTCTGAGCCTTGGAAGGTCATCAGAAGAGAATTCAAGATTCCTTGGCCATTTTTACTGTGAAAATAGCTTTGATAGCATGGGGATACCAAAAACTTCCTTGGATTTTCTTCTGTAACTTGCCTCCCTTGCTATACTCCTTG